GAGAGAGAGAGAGAGTGAGAGAGAAAGAGAGAGGGCTGAAGGACTGCAGCTGAATGTGTGATTTATAGCTACAGGGTTACAGTTTGTCGACTCTCACCTTCCTCGGATCACCCGCAGCGACGCGACACCTGGAACACCACAGTCAGGAACGCCGCTCTCAAACTCTCGGCTCTGACCGCTGTACCGCGTCTGGCTGTAAACACGCAGCTGCGCTCAGAGAGAAACACATTAGCAGCACACGCCAGGACTCTACGCTTATATGTTAGCGGCACATGAAATGTAAACATACCAAAAACTTTGGTTCCGCAATCCAACAGATGTCCTGTGGTGAAAATAAGATGAATGAAAGTGTGTCATGAACTCAAACACAAAAGCGCTCACTCTTATCATGAGCTCACCCTGTGAATGGGCCGCAGTGACCGCGCTGAGCTCCGTCCAGCACCCCAGTCCAGCAGCCCGGGATAATGACCTTTCTCTAGAACACACTGCTGTCCTGTGAAACACCTCTCGCTGTACGCAACCCACCTGAAACACACCCAACGCTCTCCGTTAAGGGCTGTCCACTGCTCTAACTCAGGCCTGCAAAACTCAGTTCCTGGAGGACCTGCAGAGTTTAACATCAAGCCTAATTAAACACAGCTGATCCAGCGAATCAAGTCCTTCAGGCTTATTTGAAAACTACATGGTAGTTGTGTTGAAGCAGGGCTAGAACTAAACTCTGAAGGGTGTCTGCGGTCCTCCGGGATCTGAGTTTTCTCGAAGAGAATAAGTCCACACCACAGTTTTAATGGGGGCTTTGCACCGGCTAGTTATAGGAACTATCAGTCAAATTTTGCCTTGGGGCCAAAGCCCCGATTGATAACTATGTCGATAACTATAAAGTTTTAATAATCGCTCTAACTCAAAGAATATAGTGAAGTCCACAGCACAACTATAATGATATCTATATTGTTGGAATCACTTTCAGAAGGTTTTTTTCCAGCTGATGAATGATAAAAACATTGACAGCCAATCAGAATCCACTCAACTTTAATGAGCTTGAGCGTTTAAAGCAACAGACACCAAAACTGCAGCACGTTTATAATAAACTATGTGCTGGTGTGAGCGCTTAATATAGTTATCGTTCCTGGTGTGAACAGGCCTCTGCTGGCTGAGATTCATACGGTGCGGATGAACTCACGCTCCGCTCTTCACGCAGAAGCCGTCGGTCTCCTGCAGATCGGGGATCTCCTGATGCTCGTCGATGTCCTCATCACAGATCTTCAGACTCACTGCAGGCTGCAGAAAATCCTGAGGGAGAGACCAACACTCACGTCACAGCACAAACCCTGCTCCGCTCACATTTACTGCAATGATTCCACTGATCTTCTCTCATCCTCATCTTTCATTCTTAATTAGAAAATAGTTATCAATGTTATCTTGTGCAACAATACTGAGCTGACTAAATAACAGGCTTTCTGCAGGTTTTATTAAAGTAAATTTATAACTTTTTAAAGACCTTTTTAAGACTAAGTACAAGTAGAACAATGTCTTGTATTAGCAATACTTCAAAGTTTGAAAATACTTTTTTTTTTAATTCCTCACTGGCAGATATTTGTTCTTGTTTTAATCATAAACTCACTTTATGATCCATTTTTTAGCAAAGAAGACTTCATATCTTAATTTCTCATCTCCAGTACATGATTCTTGATTTAAGGATGTTTAGATATTTGTACTGGAAAACTGAGGAAGAGATTAATTTTCTGCAGTTCATGCAACATTTAATGCCACGACTTTATGAATTTAAGACTTTCTGCTCTGATTTAAGATCTTTAAGACCTTTTAATTTGAGGAAGGGCAAATTAAGACTTTTTAAGACGCGCTGGTCCTCACTGGCCTGCTATAAAAGCTGAAGTGTTCGCACAAGCACAGACAGGCCTGATGAAGACGTTTAAGGACAGACCGATAACAGAGCATCTGCATCATGAAACACACAGCTGTCAAACACACACAGTCAGAGCAGACCACTGGCGGACAGACATGACAAAGAGTGCATGAAGATCAAGCAGAGAACAGACGGAGAGACGAGGACGACTCACAGTCTGAACACAGCGCAGCGACTGGATCCACAGCTCCGTCCCGCCGAACAGACGCGTACAGTCTGAGTATTCCCCCTCCTCCAGCACACACTGATGACCTCTGAACCCTTCGCTGGAGAACGCCACCCATCTAACACACACACACGCACTCACACACACACACACATACAGACACACACACACATACACACACACACACACACAGACACACACACACAGACACACACACATCAGGGGGTCGCACACCGGACGAGAAGCACAGCGCCGCAGTACGTCTAGGACAACTCTCAGGTATCAGCAGTCAAAAACAGTTCATCTAATCACCAAACAGGCAAAAGTTTAAAAATGAACAAAGCTGCGTCAATGAGTTTGAAGTACTGTATGGTATTTGACAAAACAAGAGCAAACGGGATGAGAAAGCGCAATCTATATTACTATAGCTCTCTATATAAAGCATATGGACTTTATTCAAGCCACAGAAAGACAAACGCTTTGCTGAAAGATGCATAAATCTTCCAGCCTAGGATGACGTCATTATGTACATTAACATTAATTTGGGACAAATATAATGTGATTTTATGGAAAACTATGTGAGTGGCGCGGCAGGATTTTGAACAGCGTCCTGAGTCGCTGCGGACAGTCGCCGGTGTGTGAACACTCAGAAAACAATGTGCTCGAACTTTAAAGACGTCCAGTGAGCAAGCTCATTAAAGGAACACACACACCGGATGAGAACCTCCGCATCACGCCTCTAACGTTCAAACACAGCGTTTTCTGAGTGTTCACACACCGGCGACTTAAATTATGTTACATGCATTAAATGCACATGACGACTTCACTCTAGACTGGAAGATTGTGCATTTTTCAGCAAATAGTCAGCATATAGTCTGTACATGAGATGCCTAAAAAAGGACCCTGAGCTTTGATTTGGAAAAAATTTACCATCAGAGCATATCTAGATCTCAAACTGATCTTTGTGCTTGAACACTTTTTGTTCTATATGTGAGCCTGGAGCACAAAAGCAGTCTTAAGTCGCTGGGGTATATTTGTAGCAATAGCCAACAATACATTGTATGGGTCAAAATTATACATTTTTCTTTTATGCCAATATTCATTAGGATATTAAGTAAAGATCATGTTCCATGAAGATATTTTGTAAGTTTCCTACCGTAAATATATCAAAACTTAATTTTTGGTTAGTAATATGCATTGCTAAGAACTTCATTTGGACAACTTTAAAGATGATTTTCTCAATATTTATATTTTTTTGCACCCTCAGATTCCAGATTTTCAAATAGTTGTATCTCAGCCAAATATTGTTCTATCCTAACAAACCATACATCAATGGAAAGATTGTTTATTCAGCTTCCTTCCAGATGATGTATAAATCTCAATTTGTGATTTGTAAAAAAAAAAAAGTGATTTTTTTTTTAATTACATTTTATTATATTTATATTTTGATTACATCATTTACTTTTGGACATCAATCAGGTTTTTGGCCCTTGGGCGTCTCTGGTGCGTTATGTAAAGATAATTAAGAACACAGATTGCCCTTTGTCTTTGTTTTTTCAAACACCTAATTTCATCAATGATACTTTGTTAATTTTTGACGTGCGCTTTTGGCGATCAGATTTACTGTTTTGAACAGCCGTCTTAATCGTGCTAGACGTGACGCAGCGCTTCTCATCCGGTGTGTGACCGGCGTAAGAGAGCAACATGACCATGTCTGTAAAAGTATCCCATGATCGCTGGGTTCTGTGGCAAAGACACGCACATCCCACCCGTGACCCGCAGAGATGCAGCGGTGTCCGTCAGACGGGGCGCGTGATCCAGCAGCTCCCTGAACACACCCTGGAACTGCGGCTTCTCGAACAACAGCATCTACACAAGAGACACAGCGATCACATGCACTGATCTGAGAACAGCTGTGAACATCAGCGTGTGTCTGACTCACCTTCGGGTCCAGCGGTCTGCTCACCTGCAGCCCACCCTGCGTCAGGAACACAGCACACGTTAGTTTGAAACGCATCAGATCAAACTAGCATGATGCTTATGGAGAGCTATGTGATTGTGTCTGAGGTCGGGAAGCGCTGCCTACGCACCAGTTTTAACGGCCGGAGACTCTTCACGCAGGACAGGAGGGAACCCTGGAGAACCGGCGTGACTCTCCCGTCAGTTTCCAGAACGGCGGATCTGCCGCTGAATCCAGGCTGCTCATGAACCACCCAGCTACACACATATTCAGGGAACAAGGACAAAGCACATATAAACCAGTGCCAGCGCCACACCGGCTGACATGCAGACGTGAACTCTGGTAGTAAATAAATAGAGCAAACCTGGGGTCCGTTCTTCGTACCTCCCTTGATACATCTGAGATGATTCAACAGATGCCGGATCTTTTAATCCTGATAACTGATCTCTGGCTAATTTGGTTCTTCAAACAAGTTAGCGGATTTGATTAAAATATCTGTATTAAGTTGTCTGAGATTACTCTCTGGTGACAAGTTCATTGGAAAGGAAAGATATATCGATACTCGAAAGCAGTGCAGTGATTGGCTGGCGGCGAGACAGCAACGTAATGACATCATATCCTTAAAGGGATAGTTCACCCAAAAATGAAAATGTGATGTTTATCTGCTTACCCCCAGGGCATCCAAGATGTAGGTGACTTTGTTTCTTCAGTAGAACACAAACGGAGATTTTGAACTCAAACAGTTGCAGTCTGTCAGTCATATAATGGAAGTGGATGGGAATCACGGCTTTGAGAGTCAAAAAAACATACACAAACAAAACCAAATTAAACCCTGCGGCTCGTGACGATACATTGATGTGTAAAGACACGAAACGATTGGTCTGTGCAAGAAACTGAACAGTATTTATATCGTTTATTACTACCTCTGATGCACTGCAATGTCTGAACTGTCCTGAGTGCGTACGCGTCTTCTTCTTCTTCTTCTTCTTGCTTTACGGCGGATCGCAGACTTATAAGTGCATTACTGCCACCTATCTCTCAAATGGACTATTGACACTATCTACAATCTCAATTAGGAGTGCCAATGGTGTCAATTCCCATCCACTTACATTATAAGACTCACAGACTGCAACAGTTTGAGTTAAAAATCTTCTTTGCGTTCTACTGAAGAAACAAAGTCCACATCTTAGGCAGATAAACATCAAATTTCCATTTTTGGGTGAACTATCTCTTTAAGATCAAGGAAACAGCCCAGCCAGCAAAATGATGAAAGTTCTTATATATAAATAAAATGTGTAACCATTTTTAAGTGATTCCAAATTATTTTTCACCATTGCTCAGTGTCAAGAGTATTCCAATTAGCAATTAATTTAATTTTGGAGCAGATTTGTTATACGTGACAGCATTAAATAAAGTTTCTAAATCTATAAGATCCATCTTAAGACATTATGGCTGTGTTTAAATTAACTGTGCATCATAAAAACATTTTGAGATTTGAGAAGTGAGTCTCCTGCGCTGCATTAAAGCGCACCGTTCAGATTAATGCACCACTCAGACAAACACGACTGCATAGAGATCATTATTCCTTCACGAATAAATCTCTCAATGTAAAACTGGTTGTGTTTGTTATTATAGATTACACAACATTTTAATTATTTACAAAGGAATTTTAAAATTATTATCTTTTAAAATGATTGAAAGAAAGCAGCAGTGTCAGGACAGACTCTGAGTATCACCTTCACTTAAAAAGATGCGATCTAATCCTGTTTATGTGAAAGAAGCTGCTCCCGAGCAGGTTTGAGCTCACAGACCTGGTGCTATGACAGCAACTCCCGGAATGAGCTTAGAAGAACCGAATAATCCTGGATCATGTCAGATCAGCAACAATCAAATCCAGCTAAGTGTGTAATCTACGTATGAAGAACAGACCCCTGGTGTCACTGTCAGAAGCATTTCAAATGACCAGCTGGTGATCAAGACTAAAGCCAAGTCAACAAACTCAAAGCCTAATGGTTAGAGAGTCGGACTTGTAACCCAAAGGTCATGGGTTCGAGTCTCAGGTCCGGCAGGGACATGAATAACCAGCGCTCTCTTCCACTCTCAATACCACGACTGAGGAGAGACCCTTGAGCAAGAACAGAACCCCCCACTGCTCCGGGGGTGTGTGTGTGTGTGAGAGAGTGAGAGAGTGAGTGAGTGTGAGAGTGTGAGAGTGTGAGTGTGAGTGTGAGTGTGAG